GCTACTTTTTTTTTTTTTTTTTTTTGGTATCTATATACTTAGTGGGTGAGAAGGAGCTGCGATTATAAGTGCTCTGGGGAACTGCCACAGACTCTCCCCCCTTAATCTGAGCTGCCATGCGCAGGACTGGGTGACCCAGGAGTAAAATGGCTGAGAACCACACAGTGCCTTCCCTCCACTCCGAGCTCTGTCCACCACCCTGCCACAAACATCATCCAACTTCAATACAGCTACACGCCTCACCTTCCACTTAAAAGGCCCAGAGAAGCAGGTGCCCGCAGCCCAGTTTCACTGTCAGAGAAAGTGAGCGCTGACAGCTGCGGCGAGGACACCCCGCCTCCCCCCACGTGTCCATATTATGATCTCTGTTAGCGAGCACTTGACCGGTCCTCGCTCTTTGACCTTTTGGGTTAACATACCACCAACATCCTCAATACAGTACTTGCGACCAGCCTCTGTCAAACTTCACCTGGCCATTTATTTTTTTTTAAATCATTTCTCTTTGTTCATTATAGAACTGACTAATGCTTGTTGCAAAGCGAGAGGAAACTCACATAAGCAAAAAGAAAGAAGTACAATTTTCCATAATCCCATCCCCAGAGAGAATCACCGCATTGTGGGGCTTGGCTTTCTGTATCTTTCAATACGTGTACATCTGCATAGATCATTTTTCAAAAAAACCCCACAAAAACAGAATCACATGATGCATATTACTTTGTGACACGTCTTCCCACTCAAAAACCCAAACATCTCTGTTTATATAGATAAGTGCACTTGCCTCATTATGTTTAATTGCCGCACAGTGTTCTATTGTTCAGATGCAGTGTTAAGATTGTTTCCGATGTCCAGGTGCTTCCAAGAGTTTGCTCTTACAAGCAAATCTGTGGATGAACCTCTGTGCCCACGCAGGGATGTCCCCATAGGATGCTGGACAACAGGACAGCTGTTAGATCCCGGGGCAGGCGCACTGGTACAGTGTTTACTATGCATCGACGAACTGCCCTTCGGAAAACTCATCACACAGCATCCTCCCACCAGCTTCCTCTGAAAGCACCCGTTTCCCCATAATTTCCTGGCATTTCCTTTTATTTAAAAAAAAAAATCCAAGTGTTCCAGGATCAGAGCTCAGGTCTGCCTGTCTCCGAAGCCCTTGCTATTTCCACTGTTCCCCACGGCCCCCCTCTGGTGTAGAGAAAGACGTTGGGCTGCCCCGAACCCCTCTAACCTGATCAAGACGCCTCAGATGCTCACGTGAGCCTGGTCCCACTTGTAACAGTTGTACTAACACCTTTTTCTTTCACTTCTTGGCTTCCCATCAGGTCCCGGAGAAGCAAGGGAACAACATCAAGTATATGGAGAAGGAAATAGTAAACCTCAAGAAAGACCTTATGCGAAGCCGGTGGGTGAGCCCAGCATGGAATAACCCACAGAAAGCCTGGCAGGGGTGATCAGGCTGCAGGGTGGTGCCTACAAGTCCTTGCCAGGTCCCAGTGCCCCACCCCAACCCTGAACATTTCACAGACTTACAGGAGGGTAACCCTGTAAGGATCCGTTTCCTGGTTGGCCTAGAATTCCCTCTCCTTTCCTTCCCAGACCTGAATCCAACTCAAGAGAGTTCCCATATGCTCCAAAAATCTTTCCTTTTCACACCAGGTCTATAGCATGGTAAGCGAGGGTCAGGTAGGCTCGGGCTCAATACTGGCCCTGCAACCTGCCAGCTGGTGACACTGGAGGAGTTCCTTAACCTCCCGGAATCTCTGTGCCCTTACCTGTGAGATGAATACAATACGGGCCGTTAGAAGGACCCGGTGAAATAAGGCATTCAAGTCCCCCTGTATGGCCTTGACTACAGTGCCATTCCTGTCCTTCCCTAGCCCGCCGATCCCTTCCTCCGTGACAGTGTGAGCACTTTCAGGTCTAGGACTATACCTGACTCATCCCTGGGGGATGAATGGGGTGTGTTCTCCTCTCCCCTTAACTCCTCCCTGGGAGCTGGAATGATCCACGGTGGGATCGTAAAGGGGGGCCTTAGGCAAAGCAACTCAAGGCAGAGTAAGAGACAGAGACTCTCTTAGCCCAAGACGCACAGGGACATGCTCAGGGGGGCAACCCAGGCAGTGTGGAAGGTCTGCTTATCTTACGTGTCTCTCACCCGGAGCCAGACCCCTGTGAAAATCACAGCGAGACATTTCCTTTCTTCACCTCTGCCATCTGGAAGCTCCTCCCTCTCCACTGCCCACCTGCATTCCCACCCTTGACCTGTCCCCCAGCGCAACTTGAGGGAACTGGATGACTGAGCCCAAGAGGAGGCGGGGAGGTGTCGGCAAAGAAGGTGGGGAGAAGGAAAGGGGTTGGGGCATGGCCCCAGAGAATGGCAGCTCCCCACCGACCACAGGAGGAGTGGCCGTGTCAGCTCCTCGGGAGTCTCTGGCCACCCACTGTCCAGCAGAAACATACTGCGAGCCATGCGTGGCGTTTTAAATTTTTGAAAAAAATTTAAATTTTAAAAAAGGCAAATGGAACTGGTGAAAGTCATTCTAATAATGTATTTTACTTAACCCAATATACCCAAGGTATCGTCACTCAACAGGTAACCCATAGAAAAAGAGTAGTTCATGAGAAACTTTATATTCTGCTTTGAATACGTGATGAAAAGTGGTGATGAAAAATCCAAGTATATTTTACCCTTAGAGTGTGTATTGCTTTGGGCCAAACACACTTCAAGTGCTCGATAGTTGTTATGAACTGAATTGTGTCCCTTCTCAAATTCATATGTTGAAGACACAACCCCCAATGTGACTGTATTTGAAGACAGGATCATTAAGGTTAAATGAGGTCATAACATTAGGGCCCTAATCCAATAGGCCTGGTGTCCTTATAAGAAGAGGAGCCCGGCCGGGGTGGCTCAGTGGTTGAGCACTGACCCATGAACCAAGTGGTCACTGGTTCGATTCCCGGTCAGGGCACATGCCCGGGTTGTGGGCTCGATCTCTCTCTCATCAATGTTTCTGTCTCTCTCCCTTCCTCTCTCTCTATTGCTATCTATGCTCTTGACATTCCTTTTGGTTATAGTATCTGTCTGGTGGGATTAGTACAAAGGGGGGTCGGGGGCCTGCCGCAAATCTCTTCCCAGCTGCACATTCACTGACATCACATCCGCGGCTCAAAATCAGCCACGGAGGGAATATTTATGGCACAGAAATCGGCAAACCCTACAAATCAGGGCTTACTTGTCCCCAACCCCCTTGGAGACATGGCTGTTAAACATCCCTGGGGACGCACCCCTCCCCACCCCAGTATAACCAAGGCTGAACGTCCCACTAACCCAGTATAACAGAGGGGCTTGATTAAAAGGTGATAAAGACCGTGGCTCTTCTGCCATCCTTGAGCCAGCCAGCTGAGCCTGCCTCTCCCGCCAGACACATTAACGGTGGCTCTGAAACTAGCTCGAATTTAGCATCCGCATCGAACAGGTTAGCCTGCCCAAGGTCTCGACAGGAAGGAAAATGCGGGAAAAGCCAGACAGAACAGCCACAAGCAAGAAAACACGAATCGACAATAAAACGTTCCACCCGGCCACTCTCCTGCATCCCACTGACATTTAGGGAACGGACGATTCCCCTCCCCAAGGAAACGCCCTGTTTTCCAGCGGGAATCGCCTCTTGCAAAGAGGTGCGAACCGCACAGCCCCATCTCCCGGGATTAAATGAGGCGAATTATTAGCGAAGAAGATGTTGTCTTTTCCACCTAATGTTTTTCAAATCTGCTTCGTCTCCCATTAAAATCCAGCCAAACACCTTGACTATCTGCTAGACTTTTATTTAATACTTCAGCCCTCTTACAGTGCAACCGCTCCATCCCTGGTTTCATGGCCAATTTAGCGCGATGCTAAAAAGAATAAAAATCTAGCTGCTCCCCTCTTCGCCTGCCCCACCAGATGCTCGGTGGCACCAAGCATCACGCGACGCCCTTCCCCGCCGACTCTCTCCTCACGCAGGTTGGCAACGGGGCACCTGCGCATGCCCAGTTCTTGGGCCCGGCTGACTGCTGAAGCCAGCAGCGCACCTTCCTCCCGAGCTGCGGGTGCTCTTTATGGGGAGTGTTTTAAGGAAAAGAAACACCTCTGCAGCTAAAACAACTGAAAAGTTAAACTCGCAGCCATAATTTGCCCGTGGCGATGTTTAGTTAGGTGCAGGCAACTGCAAATAAACAGTGATGATGAAGCCCCCTCCCCCAGCGGGCCCCAGGACCGGATAGGTTATGCAAGTGTTTCTGGGGCCTGAGGCTTTGCTTTCTGGTGACATTCGATAGACAGGTGAAGCGAGGCAATTAGAAAGAACAAAGGTGGGCTCCGGCAAGGGAGGAAGGTATTTCCTTTGCATGAGGTTAGGTACTTGCTGATGCCTCCTTAAGTGTTCTGTGCTCATTCCTTTTCCTTGACAAAAGTTTACTGAGTCCCAGGCACCGCCAGGTGTACACCAGGCGTCACCTTATATGCTGGAGACACGGCAGTGGACACAGCAGACAAGATTCCCGTAAATGAGAGACAAAGATGTGTGCTATATCATAAGGTATAAGAGGCCAGCTGGAGAAATGGCCCTCACCCAAATCCCTTTACCAATGAGGCTGATTTTAATTTGTGAACTTAAACAATTGGGAAAATTGTCGTTGACCTCAGACGTTTATGGACTGTCCTCAGTAGCTCCTCCATTTCATCATTGGGCACCCAGGACCTCCACAGCCGTAGCCTGTAACCCAGAACTTGCTCATTTAGAAGTTCAAGCCTGATTTTTCCCCACCGCCCCCTCCCTGGGACTTGAGACCTGCCTCAAAGCCCCAGAACATTTACGATCATGGATTTATAGACCGGTCAATACCCTGGATGCAGGCAAAGTGAAGGCTTCTGAGTTGCACTTTATAAATCATTCAAAGAAGACCTTAGAGCCCCCCCCCCAACATCACATCACCCCCACGCCCCGCAGCCAGCAGGCAGATATTAATAAAAGCAAATGCTCTGCCCCATGGCCTTAGCCCAGAACTGATAAACACAGCCACACACCCAAAGGGTAGGTCACTGCTGAGGGCTGGAGGAGCCTGGCTCAAGTTAATTGCATTTTTATCATCTTGAATGTGACCCGGGTGTCCTGCCCATTTTTTTCTCTGTTTCTGGTGTCTTCCTGTGTCTTTGCCACCCCTAGGTAACCATAATTCTAGGGCAAGTTTTCTCTGCTTTTCTTGCATCAGTCTCCGCTGAAGGCAAATATCCTTTTAATCCTTTTTTTATGGCCAGGGCTGCCTCCGAGGAGCCCACATAATAAAGAATTAACTAGAAGATCATGTACTCAAAGTTAAGCATCAAAATATCTTGAACCCTTGAGCCTTTTGTCACATCAGGGTCTACACCAAACTTTGTTTTCTGAGATTCTTTCCCAGATGACAGGTAGTGAGCTCAGTCTTATAGCCGGGCTTGGAGGGCTCACATAGTACTGTTGAAAATTCACTGGCTGTGGAGGGAGCTGTGGGTTCAAGTCCCAACTCTACCCGTTATTAGCTGGGTGGCCATGGCGCAAACCCATTCACTTCTATAGGCCTCAGTGTCTTCATCTATGGTGTGGGATATAACAAACTGGGCGATTAATGAGTATCTGTTGAATGAACGAACGCATGCATGCTTCAGAATTCCTCTGGCATTTTCTAAGCATCAGGCTGAGGGGAGAGGAGGGAAAGTGACTAGACGTGCCCTTGAAAAAATCATGTGGCCGGGCTAGGCCAGGAAGGAACATAGCTCAGAGCAGCAAGCACAGGCCTGGCTTCTGCCCCAGGAGCTCATACAGGCTTGGAGCCAGACTGCTTGGGTTCAAACCCCAGCTCCACCACTTACAAGCCAACATAGAGGTGAACGACCTGCCTAATTTCTCTGATCCCCAAAGTGGGGAATTACAAAAACACTCTCTCCTTCGCGCAGGGCGCTACTGTGAGGATTAAATGAATTAATACACATAAAGCACTCAGAACAGTGCCTCACCTGTGGTCAGTGCTCAGGGCATGGTAGCTGTGTGTATTACATCATTCGTGTTCCCCAGTGACCGTAACCATTTTACATGGGTTTCTCCCTGTCTCCAATCACGGAGCCATACACAGCACGTCACACCGGATCCCAGATTCTGAACCGTGGAAGGCAAATGTTTTCGGCACAGCTGGAGTAAATGGGG